AGAGCCAGTAGTAAACGCAACACTTTCTGAAATTGCTAGGTTCTGAATGGGGAACAATTGTGAGTGAAGAGGCCAGTGTGCCGTTCTGAGCTGAGTGATCTTTTTCTTCTGAGATGGAGTTTCACTCTTGTTGCCCAGGCTGGAGTGCAATGGTGCAATTTCAGCTCAGAACCTCCGCCTCCCGGGCTCAAGTAATTCTACTGCCTCAGCCTCCCAAGTAGCTGGGATTACAGGCATGTACCACCATGCCTGGCAAAGTTTTTGTATTTTTAGTAGAGACAGGGATTTCTCCATGTTGGTCAGGCTGGTCTCAAACTCCTGACTTCAGGTGATTCACCTGCCTCAGCCTCCCAAAGTGCTGGGATTACAGGCATGAACCACTGTGCCCAGCTGCTAAGTGATTTGTAAGCTAAGACATACTCTTCAATTCCTTCAAAACAAGGGAAGTAGTGGCTGGTTTTTTTTTTTTTTTTTTTGAGACAGAGTTTCACTCATGTTACCCAGGCTGGAGTGCAATGGCGCGATCTCGGCTCACCGAAACCTCTGCCTCCTGGGTTCAGGCAATTCTCCTGCCTCAGCCTCCTGAGTAGCTGGGATTACAGGCACGTGCCACCATGCCCAGCTAATGTTTTGTATTTTCAGTAGAGACGGGCTTTCACCATGTTGACCAGGATGGTCTCGATCTCTTGACCTCGTGATCCACCCGCCTTGGCCTCCCAAAGTGCTGGGATTACAGGCTTGAGCCACTGCGCCCGGCCAGTAGTGGCTGTTTTAAGAATAAAAATGTTTTTGAAATTTGGAATACAGGAGAGACAGGGGGTTCCTTAAACCCAGTAATTCTTTTCCCTTCTGATCCATCTCAACCACAAACCAAACAAATATGCACACGCTTGTCAAAAACAAGTCAATTATTTTGAAAATCAATTAAATTATTCATAACCTTTGAAATTTCAAAGGAAAGTCTAGAGAGAGAGCGTCCGTAAGAAGTCACGGGGATTGAAGTGCTCAGTAGTTAAAATCAGATTCTTTGTCTCCACTTTGCTAATGGCTGGACTTTTGACTTTTCTGATGACTAATCCTGGCTATCAAGTGAGATTCCACTGGGCCTGGTTTGTTCATACTCTTCTGAGTGACATTTTCCCCATTCTAACAGCCTAAAAGCATAATGAGGTAAATGAATCACAGTAATAATGATTTTTTTAAAAAAACCTAGGCAGGAACAAAACTGGCTCATTACCATGAAGTACTAGCATTCTGAAGAGGAAAGGAAATCACGGAGGAACAGGAGAGAATACAGAAACCACCACTTATGTGTATTGCTAGTAATATGCCAGACACGATTCTAAGCATACATGACTGTCATTTAATACCAATGCAGATTCTACAGATGAAGAAATGGAGGCACAGAGAGATTAAGTAGTTTGCTTAAGGTCACACAGCTAGGAAATGACCAAGGTGGCATTTAAATGAGACAGCCTGGCTCAAGCCTGGACTGCCTCTGCCTTTTTTTTTTTTTTTTTTTGAGTTAGGGTCTTACTGTCACCTAGGTGATCATGGCTCACTGTAAGACTCGACCTCCCAGGCTCAGGCGATCCTCCCACTTCAGCCTCCCATGTAGCTGGGACCACCACAGGAGTGCCACCATGCCTGGCTAATTTTTTTTTTCCTAGATGGGGTTTTGCTATGTTGCCCAGTCTGGTCTCAAACTCCTGGGCTCAAGTGATCTGTCCACCTCGGCCTCCCAAATTGCTAGGATTACAGGCGTGAGCCACTGTGTGCAGCCTGCCTCTGTCCTTCTAAAAGAAAGGAAATGGCTGGGCACAGTGGCTCATGCCTGTAATCCTAGCACTTTGGGAGGCTGAGGTGGGCAGATCACAAGATCAGAGAAGTTTGAGACCAGCCTGACCAACATGGTGAAACCCTGTGTTGTATTTGACCAGAGCGTAGAAAGTTATCACCAAGACAAAAGTATGCCAGATTGCAGGGTCACTTATTATGCCGGCGACCACAGAGGACTCACGTCTCTCCAACCTGTGGCTACAAAAGGAGGGTGCCACGATTTTTTATACCTGAAAAACCACCTTGGGAGTGGGGGTGAGGGGCGGGGATGGGGATGATAAGGTTTTGGACATTTCAAGGGCTAAGGGGATTCTGTGATTCACCTCCTGGGTGGAGACAAGGGCGGGGGTC